ACCAAAGTTGTTGAGCAAAAAAAAGAACCCCGAGAGTTATTAAGCAAAAAATAAATGAAACAGCATGGTGTGCAGAGTCAGAACAGAGATAGGAATAGGGGAGAGGTTGAGCACTAAGACCCAGGGAACGCATTGCTTCCCCTTGCTTCAGGTTTTTTCTGGTGGCCATCTTGTTTTCTTGATAGAGCCAGAACACAGCTTCCCTGTGGAACCCGGTAAGCAGGGGGACGAAGGGCCCGGGGGCTGGGCCCAGTTGCTGAGTGTGTCATAGGGTTGCCAGGTGTCCAGTATTTTAACCTCCTGGCAGGGGAAAAAAAACCAGAAAATACCAGACATTTCAGGTGTCCAGTATTTTCGTCTCCTGGCAGGAGGAAAACATGTTGTTACACTGGAAGTGGGGGGCTGATGTTAGGGTTGCCAGGTGTCCAGTATTTTCTGAATTTACCACCGGACAGAAGGTGCAAATACTGGACTGTCCGGGTCAATACTGGACACCTGGCAACCCTAACATCAGCCCCCCACTTCCAGTGTAACAACATGTTTTCCTCTCTGCTTACCTGGTGGGGGCTTGATCAAGAAAACAAAATGGCCACCAGCAAAAAGACGTGAAGCAAGGGGAAGCAATGCCTTCCCTGGGTCTTAGTGCTCAACCTCTCCCCTCTCACACTTGCTGTCATGCTGTTTCTGTTTTAATAACTCTCGGGGCCTTTTTTTTTTTCGCTCAACTACTTTGGTCTTTCCCCTTTTTTTCCCCCCTCAACAGAATTTTTTCCCCGTGTCTTTTTTTTGGGGGGGGGGGCAGTGTTTGGTATTTTTGGTTTAACCATCTGGCAACCCTAGACACTGGGGACAAACAGGAAGAGGTGTGTGTGTGTGGGGGGGGGAGGTTAGGGGATAAGTAACAAAAGGAGAAAAGGAAAGGAAAAAGAGCAAAAGAGACAGAAATGAGGAAGAGGAAAGACCTGGAAGGGAACCAACTCCAGGCCACAGTTCCAAGATCAGAGATGCCAAACCTCAGCTCTGTGACAATGACACCGCGCTGAAACTGGAGTCCCCCAGATGGACCTGATCCTGACTGGCCATCAAGCCAAGTTCATGTCTCACTGAGAGTGGTGGCATGGAATCTTCTTCTTAACAGCTTGGCATGACACTATTGTACCGCAACGGAGGGTATGTCTACACTACCCTGCTAGTTCGAACTAGCGGGGTAATGTAGGCATACCGCACTTGCAAATGAAGCCCGGGATTTGAATTTCCCGGGCTTCATTTGCATAAGCGGGGCGCCGCCATTTTTAAAACCCCGCTGGTTCGAACCCCGTGCAGCGCGGCTACACGGGGCACTAACTAGGTAGTTCGAACTAGGAGGGTAGTGTAGACATACCCTCAGAGAGGATGGTGAGTAGGTGACTCCAACCTTTACAGCTAATGGCTGCTGCTCTACACTCTCGTGGCAGAGGAAGGCTTTAGACCTTCCAATATGGCTACAAGCCTTCCAATGTGGCCATATAAAAACCATATTGTTACACCAGTTAATCCCTCTGAGTGTCCTAGGCCCTGTGGGTCCCATTCATAGTATGGTTGAGGTGGCTGCTGCAAGGCCTTCCTAAACATGGGACTGGGGTGGACACCCAAACTGTCATAAGAACGGCCAGACTGGGTCAGACCAAAGGTCCATCTAGCCCAGTATCCTGTCTGCCGACAGTGGCCAATACCAGATGCCCAAGAGGGAGGTAATCCTCAGCTGATCCCTCCCCTGTCACCCACCTCCAGAGAAACAGAGGATAAGGACACCTGACTAATAGCTATCGATGGACCTAACCTCCATGAATCTATCTAGGTCTTTTTTACCCTTTTAAAGTTCTAGCCTTCACCGCATCCTCTGGCAAGGAGTTCCACAGGTTGACTGTGCTGAGTGAAGAAAAACTTCCTTTTGTTTGTTTTAAACCGACTACCTATTAATTTCATTTGGTGGCCCCTAGTTCTTATGTTATGGGAACAAGTAAATATTTTTTCCTTATTCACTTTTTCCATACCAGTCATGATTTTAAAAACCTCTCTCATTTCCCCCCTTAGTCTCCTCTTTTCTAAGATGAAAAGTCCCAGTCTTTTTCATCTCTCTTCATATGTGACATGTTCCAAACCCCTAATCAATTTTGTTGGCATTTTCTGAACCTTTTCCAATGCCAATATATCTTTTTTGAGATGAGGTGACCAGATCTGTACACAGTATTCAAGATGTGGGTGTATCATGGTTTTATACAGAGGCAATAAGATATTCTCTGTCTTATTCTCTATCCCCTTTTTAAATGATTCCTAACATTCTGTTTACTTATTTGACTGCTGCTGTACATTGGATGTTTTCAGAGAACTATCCACAGTGATTCTAAGATCTCTCTCTAGAGCAGTTGTAGCTAAATCAGTCACCATCATATTGTATAGATAGTTGGGATTATTTTTTCCAATGTGCATTACTTTACATTGATTGACATTAAATTTCATTTGCCATTTTGCTGCCCAATCATTTAGTTTGGTGAGATCTCTTTGCAGCTATTCACAGTCAGCTTTGGTATTCACTATAGTGGACTACAAGCTAAATATGAGTCAACAGTGTGACACTGTTGAAAAAAAGCAAATATGATTCTAGGATGCATTAGCAGGTGTGTTGTGAGCAAGACAAGATAGATCATTCTTTCGCTCTACTCTGCGCTGATTAGGCCTCAGTTTAGTGTATTGTGTCCAGTTCTAGGTGCCACATTTCAAGAAAGAGAAATTGGAGAAGGTCCAGAGACGAGCAACAAGAATGATTAAAGGTCTAGAGAACATGACCTATGAAGGAAGACTCAAATAATTGCACTTGTTTAGTTTGGAAAAGAGAAGATTGACAGGGGACATGATAGTGGTTTTCTGGTATCTAAAAGGGTGTCACAAGGAGGAGGGAGAAAGTTCTTCCTGGCCTCTCGGGATAGAACAAGAAGCAATGGGCTTAAACTGCAGCAAGGGAGGTTTAGGTTGGACATTAGGAAAAAGTTCCTAACTATCAGGGTAGTCAAACACTGGAATAAATTGCCCAGGGAGGTTGTGGAATCTCCATCTCTGGAGATATTTAAGAGTAGGTTAGATAAGTGTCTATCAGGGATGATCTAGACAGTGCTGGGTCCTGCCATGAGGGCAGGGGACTGGACTCGATGACCTCTCAAGGTCCCTTCCAGTTCTAGTATTCTATGATTCACTGTTTGGTATCATGTCGCTGTCCTATGGAAGGGACAGGAAACTAGCTCGGATCTCACAGCTCAGGAAGCCCCAGAGGACGGCAGATCGGAGCTGGTCCCTTTTCAAGGCTGCATTGTGTGGAACGTCCTCCTAGCTAGCCCAGCTCTCCTCATGTCATGAGCCTCCGACAGTCCTTGTCCTCCTGTAAAGACTGTGGATGGCTGCTGGGCTTAACACAGGGGCGGGCAATAACTTTTCTATGATATTAATGGAGGTGGTGCAGGGTCTGAGAGGAAAGGTGGGGTGCAGAAAGGAGCTTGCAGTAAGGGATTGGGGTGCAGGAGGGAGTATGGGGTCTGGGAGGGAGTTTGTATGGAAGAGGCCGTGGTGACCTGGGGCAGGTAACTGGGACGCAGGAGGAGGTTGTGACTTGGGGCAGAAGCCTGGGGTGCAGGATCTGGGTTCAGGAGGGGGGCAGAGGATTTGGGTGATGTGGAGTAGGAGGGCAGGAGTGGGGAGCAAAGGGTTAGGAGAAGGGAGGGGCTGGGGTGTCAGAGACAGGCTCTGGCTGGGATACTTACCTGGGTGACTCCCGGCCAGCAGCCCAGCAGGTTTCTCAGGCAGGCTCCCTGCCTGCCATGCCCCTGCACTGGCTGCAGGGCCCATGTGGATTTGGCAATAGCTGCAAACCTGAGGGGTGAGGGAGGAGTGCTTCGCGTGCTTCCTGTTCTTCAAACAGGCAGCTTGCATTGGCTGGAAACCAGCCAATGGGATTGTGCTGGGGGCGGGGGCAGCGTGTTAAACCTCTCTCCTTCCCTGGGATTGCTGATGTGCACAGACAAACAGGGCTCCACAGCCACTTTTCTGAGCAGGTGCAGGGAGCTGCAAACCTGAGGGGTGAGGGAGGAGTGCTTCGCGTGCTTCCTGTTCTTCAAACAGGCAGCTTGCATTGGCTGGAAACCAGCCAATGGGATTGTGCTGGGGGCGGGGGCAGCGTGTTAAACCTCTCTCCTTCCCTGGGATTGCTGATGTGCACAGACAAACAGGGCTCCACAGCCACTTTTCTGAGCAGGTGCAGGGCCAGGATAGGCAGGAAGCCTGCCTCAGGCTCCCCACTGCATCCATAGGCCGGATCTGGTGGCTTGGCGGTCCGGATGTGACCTATGGGTATTATTTTGCCCAGCCCTGGGCTAACCCCGGATCAAGGGAGCAAAAGCGTAGGGGCGGGTGGGTTTTATAGCCCTCACACTTCTGGCCACCCGGAGTGTGTGTGGAAGTAGTTTACCCCATTGCATCATGGGATGACAATGCAATTTTGTTTAGGCTACAGCTGGCAGCCTGTTAGGGCTGGTTTTTACACTGGAGAACATCTCTCTAGCCTGAGTGATCCTGCCCATCTGATTCCTGGTTATTCCTGTCTCCAAAGCCCAGTGATTCTCTCCACCACGTGCAGAACAGGCACAGTGAAACTTCCACAACCACCGAGTCGCGAGAAACCAGAAGCTAAAGCTAAACCTTCCGGGGAAACACCTTTCTCGAGGGCACGCCACGTGATTGCCACAACCTACGGGTACTGAAGAAGGTCATGTCTGATCAGCCAGACTCTCCATACTAGGTACCAATCCCCTGACATGCTGAGCCCCCTTGGCGCTGGGTTCCAGCCAGAGGTATGCTGCTCCTCTTACCAGAGACACTCCGCACCTCTCAGGATCAGGCCCCAGAGGGAAGATCACGGGAACAAAAAACCCAATGGATCTGGACATGGAAAATAATGTTTATCGTATTCCGTTTGGATATACAACACGTCATTGGTAACTCCAGAGAGGACCCATGTCACGGCAATTGCTGGTACTGGGGAGCGGGGTACAAATAGGCTAGATCGGGTTGGCCAACCCATTAAACGAAGAGAACTGAAACAGCGGGGGAAAAAATGCGAAGAGCCACACTAGAATTGTTAAGGGGGGATGGGGAAGGGGGGCGTTGCCCCTTTAAAAAAACACGGGCTTAGGCTTTTTGGCCACATCAGGCTCCCGCCAGCTGCCGCCATCCTGCGGACACCAGTTTGAATCGCTGCCGGACTGCTCCCCTGCCCTGGTGAGCACAGGGAGCTGGGGGCCATTTGGAGGGGTGCAGGGGCAGCTTTGCGAGCTGCACTTTTGGGGGGGGAATAGCCGCATGCAGCTCGTGAGCCGCGAGTTGGCCACCCCTGGGCTAGATCCTGCACATGTCCTGGCAGTTCACCAGCATATATATGGGCTGCACAGCCTTCTTCTCCTCACTGTGCATGGACAATTCCCTCTCGAGCAGTGCTTTGTCCAGACGACCTTTCAAGGAGTAATAGCGGAGAGCCACATTGCGCCAGTCTACTGCCTCCTCAATGTGCACCGGCCCTGCTGGCAAAGGGCTTCGAAGGTGCCCGCCTAAGGACAGAACAAGAGACAGTTAAGAGGGCAAGAAGTGAAAGTCACCCATGCGTACCAAAGCTCCTCTCTTTGGAGTCCCTCTACCTGATGGAGTTGGGTCAGCGCAGGTATCCGACACCATTGCTCTCTCCTGGATGAAATCAGACTTGCTCAATTGTTTGCGATTATATTGCCTCCTGGTGCCTGGAGGACTACACGGATCTGCCCCACAATTCTGCTATAACGGAAATGAGATTTCCCATTTTGTTCCAGTGGTGGAGGTCTCAATTAACTGGCAATTACGATGTCTGCGTGTGTTTGTTTACAAAACGTCACAAACTCAGGGCCATAAAATCTATTGGTTGATATTATTTGCAGCTGTGGAGATCACAAACTCAGGGCCATAAAATCTATTGGTTGATATTATTTGTAGCTGAGTTCTTAACTCTCAGGCTCTCAAGATTAAAGAATCTTCTGTAAATTACTAAATTATCCAGTAAACTATGATTCTTAGAGTTACTGAGAGTTAGTGGGTTGGTGCATTATATTTTGTATTTGATATGAATTTCTGTCAGTGATTGCAGCTGATTTAATAGCATAGCTTAAGGAAAAGAGGATGCTAGCAGAATACACACTTGACACTCCGATTTAGAGAGCAGTTGTTTGGTAAGGGGAGATAGAGCCCTTCACCACTAGTTTATGGGTTCAAATCTAGCCTGTATCAGACTGAAAGCTGTCAGCGGCCATATAAATTAAGCTGGTCTTAGTCTGGTGCGGCAGCTGCTCAGAGAAAACCAGTACAAATCAAGAATAAATGTGTCTCTGGTTTTCCTCTTGCTGCGATGCCAAATGCATTCCGTCCCACCCAGCCACAGCCCCTCCTGTCTGTCTCTGTGATAAGAGCAGGCTCAGAATGGCCCGCGGCCACTTCTCTCATTCTGAACCCCGTTCCTGGTGACTGTGTAGTGAGACAGCAAGGAGTGATGGAAACACCCCATCCTCTACTGCTAAGGCAATGAAAGAGCAGGAGACGCCCACTCACCAAACATATGCCCCCTCCCCTCTCCAAAATTCACTCAATGTGCTGCGGAATTCCATTGGGCTTATCTGATTTGTCGACGTCTGGTTTCCCCTCTTCAAACTCACAGGGTTGGCCTAACCAATGGAAAAGAAACCTCCCATCCAGGCACCTCCAACAGCTGTTCCAATAGCAGTTCCAAGCCAAGCGGAGTTAACAGCAGAGGGGGAGGAAGAATCTTTGTGGAGAGTCATGTTAACGCAATGTTGTGTTACACTGATGGACAGTTTGGCCTCTCCAGACAAAACACAAGCAGCACTGGCCAAAGCCCTCTCCCTCTTACTGCTTTGCAAACTGACTCCTAAAGGCCTGAACCAACAGCACTAAAGCAAAGACAGGCAACTTAACAAACCCACTCTTGGCTCATTCTGTTGTGCCTAGATATGGTAGCACATGCACAAGCTCATTCTGCAGAGCATCCTTGAGCCACAGTATTTCCCAAAAATGGACAATACTCTTAGGACGTGGAACAACAAAGGACAGCAAAGGGGGACAAAACATTCAGATGCATAGATAAGGGAGAAATCATGAACAAATACAGAGAACTAGCGTGCTGGAGGGAGAGAGGAAGGCAATTGAAGCAGACAGGAAGGCGAGGATTGCAGAGGAAAAGGAGATTTGCACCAACGGTACCGACGCTGTACAGAAATAACAGAAAGGAAACGTGGCATCAGCCCACCCACATAATCTGAGGATCCCGGCAATACAGAGAAAAAACAACAGGATCGACTGTTCACCTTCCTGAGGGAAAGATTTAGAATCGAGGAGATGGAAAAGATCCACTAGGGTATCAATGGAGGATTGTTCCATGTCTGGAGCCCTCCAGCAATGGGGTTTCTTTCCATTTCATTATCAAATATCTCTTCTGATTGGCACTCCCCTGATATTTATTCTGGCCACATCTACTCTATGGGGAAGATTGATGCCGCTGTGGTCGATCTTCTGGGTTTCGATTGAATGGGTCTCGTGAAGACCCACAAATTTGAATTGAGAGGGCGCCCCTGTTGGCACTGGTACTCCAGCTCCTCATGAGGAGTAAGGGACACTGATGGGAGCGTTTGCTCCTGTTGACCTCCCGCGATGTGGAGGGTGATTTACAATATGGCAACTCCAGCTACATAATTAATGTAGCTGGAGTTACGTACCTTAAGTCAACTTTCCTCTTTAGCGTAGTCATGCCCTCTGCATTTTCCTTTGCTCAGTCTCAGAGGCACACCCTAGTGGTCCACCCTATGTAATTTGGCCCTCTTCGGGAGGTCAATGGTGGATTTCCAGCATACAACTCAGCAAAGGGTCAGTACCTTCTGGTGATACTTGTGCCATCCTCTTGTCAGCGACCCTAATCCAACCCATGGACGTGTGAGCCAGCATATTGATGGATCGTGTGTCGGAAGCACTGTCCAGGTCTTCCTCTTCATTGATCAGATCCTGCCGTCCAGTGGAGCACAGTTTACCTGGGAGGAGCACAGAACCTCAGATGAGTAGGACTGTGTACACACATGATCAGAACCTCTATAGTGAGGACTTATCTTCATGTTTTCCCATGCTTGTCTGAGTATTTTGTTTTTGACACAAATGTGCTAGCAGGTTTGTGAGATACACGTAGTTTATGCTAATAATCCCCTTCCCCATCCTTACATCGGAAATTAGTGATGGACAAACCTTGGAGATTTGAGAGGTTCAAGGGTCCCAAAGTTTGGATGTTTATTCAAGGCTTACGTGAGTCTTCTGGGCTTGGACATCTCCAAAGACTAGGCTCTCCAATGAGATTTCCACAGCTGCTTGATAAGATTTAGATGAGACTGGAAATATCTCAGCAATGACAGGACCTCAGGTCAATTTGGGCACAGGGTTGTTCAAATTATTATTGACAAATGATTAATTAACAGATGCAACAGTTATTATTATTTTCTAATTATTTTTTCACTACATGTCCCCAGCTGTGGTGCTAGGCTACTAGATTATATTGGAGAGGTCACCGAGACTCAGGATTGGAATGATTGGATTATCCTTCTTCTTGACCCCAAAATAGAAAACCAATATCCATTTTTAATTTTTGTCTCTGAACAACTGTCAGATAACATCTGAGGGTTACTGTAATTTTTGGAGTCAGTTTTCAAGCCATGGTGCCTACAGTTCAGTTCATGAATATGCATTTAGGTTCCTAAAAAGAAGCTCCTATTTGGATGTCTAAATGTGGATTTTTAGGAAGCCATCTTTAGGGATCTGAGTTTGTAAATATCATAGAGCTTTATGGGAAATGCCCCCTCACTAAAAAAAATGGTTTTGGATGAAATTTAAAGAAAAATTCATTTTTTGTCAGGGTTTTGGGTTGGTTCGGGTTTTTTTTGGTCTATGAAAATGCCTCAACGTTTACAGTTTTCAAAAACGAAAAAGTTTCTGATAGGCAAAAATAGTTGGTTTTACTGAAAATTTTCCTCTGACTGACTTGAAAAATTTTTGGTTTTCAGTTACCAAACCCCTTGAATTTTTCAATTTGGCAGTGGGCATTGTTTTTTTTTAAAAACAAAAAACAAAACAAAACAAAACAGATTTTTGAGTTTAAAAAAACAAAAAACAAAACAAAACAAAACAAAAAACCCCAGATTTTTGAGGGGGTGAACAAGCCTTTTGTCATGGAAATCTCCAGTTTTCCCAAACAGACATTTTTCATTAAAAAGCAAAACAAAAACTTGTCCAACATCTTTCCCATTACCGCATGCCCTGTACTAACATGCTGAAGAGGGCACTAAATTCAAAATAAAAACCACATTTGCTGATTTTAACCTCCTTTCCATTTGTAAGTTGTCCGTTTTCTTGCAGTTTTCTTGAATTTAATACATTATTAGATTGTATTTGTCAGATTAGTTTTGGTGAATAATTCTTGTCCTGTAAAAGTTTAATATCTGGTTAGCTTAGGCAGGGCACAGAGCACTGATTCTGATCTTTGGCAGGCTGAGTTTAACACTTAGAATTGTGGTTACAAAATTCACGCTCCAAAAATATATTCTCATCTTCACTTTAGCATTTGTAGCTTGTACCAACTTTCCCACTATGAACATGCTCTCTGGGTACAATTCACCCACCGAGCGAGTGAACACAGAGAAGTTAGATTTTCATTTGAGCAGCATATTTTTTCAGATGTTGTCTCTGTAGGACATTGTTCCTTTGGAGGGCCAGAGGTACTAAGCACTGGGTCACATTTCTGAACCAGACAGCTGGGAAAAACATGGAAGGGAACACAATCCATAGTTTGCTGGAAAATCACCACTTTCAATGCCAAGAGGGTCTGAAAGGACTGAGAACGGGGCCCATGCCAGTAAACGGCCCTGACACAAACCTATTTATAGTAGGTCTGTCTAGGGTGAAGTTTAGTCCATTGACTTCATTTCTCAGGATCAGGCCCTCAGTCTCCTGGGATTAAATTTCTCACAGAACCACAGAAACCAGAGATGGGAAAGATGTATAAGCTTATCTTGTCCACATAACCAGGCGAGAGTAGTGCAGTCTCTAATGGTATATTTTCAAGTGCCTAGTCCAGTTTACATTTCAATATCTCAAGCAATAGGACTGTTTGTTTTTACTATTGATGTTAGTTTCTTAATGACAGCATGAAGGGGGAAAGGGAAGGAAAGAGTCTAATGTTATACTGGAAATCAGTTTAGTCTGTTCCTCAACGCTATTATAAACTAATCCAGATTGTATGGTGATTCCACAATAGTTAAGGTTGTTTGGATGCTTGGCATCCCTTAATGTAACTTGATTTCTTTCAAATTTAGCTTTAATTGAATTTCCTGTGTTGGTAATGCTTGGTTTGAGGATAATTACTACATTCCTGTAATTACCCTTAAATTACGGTCACATGCTCCACCTCAATGCCAGTTCGATAACAGTTTCTTGCCATTTTAGCCAGAAAGGACACTCTCTCAATGACTTAACCACCTGCATTCTGCAACAAAGACCTTTTACATCTGCACTTGAAAGGGAATCCTCTGAACTGTCATTCATGTTAAAATTCGACACTCTCCGGGAAGGAATGAACAAACACTCAAACTATCTTACCCATTACCAAGATAGCTTCCCCAATTAACACCTCTAATACCATTAGCTCACAGACATCCCACTCTCCCCACCTCTAATATCATCAATTCACAGACACTTACCTTCCTTCCTTCCCCCCCCCCCTGCATCCCCCTTCTGTTCTGAAAAGTGATTTGTCCTTTTCATATGTGTTCATTTTTTTTTAATTGTATCCTTTGGTATAAATGGTTGTGACTATTTTCTTCCACTATTTGATCTGAGGAAGTGTGTCTGGCCCATGAAAGCTCATCATCTAATAAACCATCTTGTTAGTCTTTAAAGTGCTACATTGTCCTGCATTTTGCTTCAGCTACCCCAGACTAACACGGCTACATTTCTATCACTCTTCTTATCTTATGTATCCTGGTTCCAGAGCTACTTGGGAAATACAACACTATCATGTTTATTATGTTTAAATCATGCATGCTTGGTTCTGGGTTTGGAGAGGAACTGTCCATGTCCCATGCATGTAGGACAGGGCTATATGTATATGAAAACCCCACCAGTACAATTATACCACGTTTCCTGAAACATTCTCCCTCTAATTGGTGTCTGTGGAATAACAATGCAACAAGCCCCCAAATCTTTATTTTAAAATAAATTAAAACTGGTCTCTTTGGAGATGTAATGCAGCAGCCTCAGGCCACCTTCTACCCCATTCTCTTGTATGTCTGTGAAAAGGACCTCTCTCCGAAAGAGGACCTACCTCAGAAAACCTTAGGCTTCCAGTTTCATCCTCTTTTCCCTTTAAATATAGTTCCATTAGACTTGGAAACATTTTCCCCTTACTTATCCTGCCCCTTATCTACCCCACTGAGGTCCAAGGCAGGGCGATCATTGCAGAAAACGATGGGCAAAGTTGTGTCAGCATACACAACGTTCTATATCATGATAGGGGTTGGGAAAGTGGAACAGATAGACCTATGAATTTGGAAGGAGAGGCAATCCAAGGTCGGAGGGGCTAACTACCCCTCTTGACCGTAGCAAATGATGCCCCAGGGCTGAGGTTGTCTCGTTCTTGATTGGCAAGGTTTTTTGGCGTATGTGCCCAAAACCTCCGTATTGCACATGACTAGCCTTTGCTGCATTGCCTGAAATGCAGTACAACGTTAGTACAGTTAGTACGTACCGTGGTAACGCACATATTACTGAGAACTACACTGGAGGTTCTGAGTTCTCCAGATTAGACACCCACTGCTGGTTCGTATGGAGTGCATTTGGGCTGTTATAAACTGGTTGGAAATTTTCTGATGGAAGGAACCCTTGTTGGAAAATCCGGATTCACTGATGCACATGTCAATTTTGATGCATTTCATATAGGGGAAGAAAAAAAGGATTTGGATTTAAACTGAAACTTTCCATTTTGACCCTGCTTACTGGAACATTTGGGGTTTTTTTCTGTTTTGAAATAATTTTTCACTTAGAAATGTATTTTAAAATATAAAAATCTCAAAATTGGAATGAAATGATTTGATTCACCTGACATGATCCCTCCCCCTCCAAATTGATTATGTTTTTGTTCTATTTTGGAAAGGTTCTTTTTTTCAAACTCACCAAATTTCCCTCGATCCCACCCCCTTTGACCCTCAGCCCCGTCCCTCTGAGAGTGCAGATCTGTCCCCGCAACTTTCCTGGGGGCCTGCAGACACTGTCAGCTTTGCTGGGTATAGCACAGACTGTCCCCTCAAGGAAGACCTTTATAAATCTAGATACTGCCATCTGACATGATCCCACTTTCCAAAGTTCCTCTAAAACCCCTTACAGCTGCCGATATTCAACCATGTCATTTCATTTCTGAGCTTAAACTGCAGCAAGGGAGGTTTAGGTGGGACATTAGGAAAAAATTCCTCACTGCCAGGGTGGTTAAACACTGGAATAAGTTGCCTAGGGGGGTTGTGAAATCTCCATCTCGGGAGATACTTAAGATCAGGTTAGACAGACCCCAGTCAGGGATGGTCTAGATGGTGCTTGGTCCTGCCATGAGGGCAGAGGACTGGACTCGATGACTCTCGAGGTCCCTTCCAGTTCTTGTATTCTATGATTCATCAGAACTTTGGGAACAAACGCAGGACTGCAAAGTAAAAAACATTGTGACACACATCTACATATGCATGTGCCGTCGTACCTCTGTGTTTGCAAAGTATTTTGATGTAATAGAGAAGATTTGTGAAGAGGTTGAAGGGGGAAGGTGTTCCAGACTTCCTAGTCATGTCCCTGATGAGCACGGCCCTGCCAAATTTCCACTCAGTGTCAGAATGGGCCTGTATCCTCTGGTAGGTGTCGCTCATCATGGCGATCAGCAGGTTGATCAGCACAATCAAGGTCACAATCAGGTAGACCCCAAACACAAAGCGGATGATGACGAAAGTGAACTGGGGCGTGCGGGTGAGCGAGGGAAGAGACTCCGGGTCAACGAGGCCAAACAAGGAGAAGAATAACGTGACCATAATGACAACAGGATCCTGGACAGTGGCGCTCACAGTCACATTCCCATCCCCCGCTGAGAGGTTGGCCTTTGGCTCAGGGTAGACTGGCTGGTAGATGGAAGACAGCTGCATGGTGAAGGCAAGGTGAAACAAGCCTAGGATGACCGCGAACCTGGTGAGATCCTTCATGAGGTTCCGGATTATGACCGCCCAGGGGCCAAAGAGGTGGTGGAAGGTAAGGAACTCCAGGAACTGCACAAAGGAGAGCGTCATGGCCACCCCTAGGAAAATATTCCTGGCAAACAGGCAGTGCAAGCGATCTGTGTCGGTGAACATCGAGGCCAGCAAATGGCAAAGGAAAGCAACGGTAGAGAAGCTCAAGACAAAGACTCTGATCCAAGCCAGGCCAGCCCTTTCTCCAGAATGGCTGACCTCCGTGACCAGTGTCCCCATCAGCCACGCTAAGAGCAACCACTCGTTCCAATATGGCACCATGTGACCTTCATAGATGGGGCTAATGGGGGGATACACGATGGTTAGGATGAAGAGGAAGAGCAAGAAGATATGAGAGGCCAAGTGGCTCATGAACTTCATGATGGGAATTTTATGGAACCTGTGTTTCAGAGGCAGGGAGAAAACCAGCCACATGGGGGGACATGCTAGGAAGCAGAAGAACACGAGGGCTATCTTCCAGGAGGCCCACTTCTGGCTGCCATACCAGACTTCGGTCAGGTATTTTTGCACAGCCGGATGCGCTACTACGTCCTTTTGTTCACACTCAATTAATGAGTCCAGCATGGTAGTGCCTCTGTGGTCCACTGCCCGGAGAAGGTAGCCAGCGCTTCTACCTCCTGAGGCCAGCGTCAGGAGCTCTGTGGCCATGCTCTCGGTGTACTTGGCAGCGGTCAGCAGGTCTTTGGCACGTTCCTTCTCCTTCAGGGCAGCCATGTTGAAAGCCCGGGAAAGCTTGATGGCAGTGTCTAGTGGAGCGGAAGAGTGAAGGACAAATTCCTCAGTCACCTTGTTGTTGTTCACTTTCCCACACACCATAAGGTCAAAGATAAACTGGAAAAAACACACACAAAGATCTCAGTTAATAAGAGAAAGAGGAAGGATTGTTTCACGCATAAGGCACTGGGTTCAATTCCCAGGTCTGCTACAAGCTCGCGCTTCAACCTTGGTCAGCTCATGGAATCTCTCTGGTGTGTCAAACCTTATTCTGTAAAACGGGTATAATAATACTGTTTGTGTTGCCTATTTACAAAGTAAACTCCTCGGTGCCGGGATCATCTCTTCCTATATGTGGATTTAGCACCTGGTACTACTGTAATGCAAGTCACAAAACAATGCGTAACACTTCACAGACACTGACTGACCCATAACACGTCCCTGTGTAAGGCAAAATCATCATCGCTGCTTTATCTGTGATGAAACAGAGGCAGAGATTAGGTGACTTCTTAAAACCACAGAAGGATCATCTGAGCTGGGATTAGGACTCTACAGTCTGTGCTCAGAGGTCATAACTAAACTCTGGATTTAGTAGAAAAAAAAATCCAGTTTGAGATTGAGTATTCTCCCAAATGCCAGGAATATTCACATATCTTCCACCGGAGACGGAGAAGGCAGCATCATATAAAAGCTGGTTGTGTGGAACTAATGTTCAGTGATGTTTCTTTCAGTTTCTAGAAGAGTTGGATGAATAGTGGATTTCTAGATTCATTGGCAATTTTGATAAATTTTTGCACATGAAGAAATTCACTACATTTTCAATTTGGCTTGAACAAAACATTTCTTGCCAACAAAATCAAACTGTTTCGTTTCAATTTTGACTGTTTTTAACACTTCTGAAATTTTGTAAAATAAAAATGAAAGGAAATTTTAAAACCAACAGTCATTTCCAACTGGAAAATTGAAATGTTTCATTTTGAGAATGTCAAAAGGAACCATTTTGATTTTTTAAAAATTTCTCCCCCTAACCAAACAATTCAGCGAAATGGTCCCCTCACGAAACAATTAGGTGAAACAGTCCCCTCACCAAACAATTAGGGCTACATCTAGATTGCAAGCCTCTTTCGAAACAGCCTTTAGAAAAAGCCTCTTTGGAAAAAGAGTGTCTAGACTACAACCAGTATGTTAGAAAAAGCACAGTTTGCATTACACAGCGCCTTTTTTCGAAAGAGCACTTTTGAAAAAAGGCGTTATTCTTCATAAAACAAGGTTTACCGCGATTGAAAAAACTGCCACGTTCTTTTGATTTACTTTCGAAAGAACGCGGCAGCAGTCTAGACACAGGTAAAGTTTTTTTAAAAAATGACCACTTTTTTTTGAAAAAGCCTGCAGTCTAGAACCACCCTAGGTGAAACAGTTTAGTATCACTAAATCTGCATTTTTCACACCCCCCCCGCAAAGTTTTGGCTGAAAATTTTTGCCTCTCTCTAGTCCTTAGTAACCTATAACTCTAAACTCCGGGAACCACACTCTCATTGCTATCACAGATGTGACTAAGGACTCTATAAACACCTCAATTACTGGGTAGCAAGGGGAAGATTTTGCAAATAAGAGCAGGACCTATGAGGGTTTGCTCACGCCACTTTCCAGAGCTCCCCTACCTTCCTGTCCTCAATCAGTTTCAAAGTGGTGGTATTTTTTTTCAGGAGGAAGCTCACTACTTCTTGGTGGTTCTCAGCAGCTGCATACTGGACAGGGATCCTTCCCTCCTTAGACTCGAGAGTGGGTGTGGCACCGCTCTCCACCAGCAGCTGAACACTGGCCAGGAAACCCGATTTGGCAGCCAGGTGCAGTGGAGTCCAGCCTTGCTGTGGAATTAAAGGACATTCAATGAAAACGTGGCATCTACTGGCTGCAGGCGCCGGGAAGTCACATAATAGGGAGTGGCCCAGGAGGGGTGGAATCCCCTTTAACCAGAATCGCATGACACTTTCCTGCCTGGCAGGTGATGGGCATGCTAGAAATCCATTGTCTGCTAGCTGGTGTCATGTGACAGCCACGCTGCTGTCAGGAATTCAGGGCAGAGGGGTTTGGAGACACTGTATAGCATCCCTCATGACATCAGGTATTATACATGGCACTGGCCCAGACCCAGGCTTGGCGTGAGACTCTCCAGGAAAAGAGATAGCCCAGAAAGTCTGATCACCGCTCACTTTTCCAGCAGGCTGACATCTACCATGCGAGCAATCCTGGTACCTTGTCGGTGACATTGATCTCCGCTCCCTGGCCCAGCAAGGCCCGCACCATCTCAACGTGGCCATTGGCGGCTGCCAGGTGGAGGCACGTCCGCCCTCTCTTGTCTCGGAGATGCAGCTGGGCGGTGGATTTGCTCAGGAGGAGCCCAGCGACGGCAGTGTGTCCGTGCTGAGCCGCCAGGTGGAGAGGGGTAGAGCCCTACGCACAAGAGTGGGCTGGTGAGTGTTTTACAGGGTCGGGCACTGGGATGGGATGGCTCCATGGTTACGAAAGGGAACTAAAATCACTGTCGGACGTGGCAGGGGGGGGCATCTCTCTCACAGCAAGGACAGAGGCTGAGAACTAGGGGTCAGGAAGACTGAACTATCCTGCACGGCTAGAGGGGACTCCTCCAGGACAGAGCTGGGGACCACTGGCCGAAGGCTAGGTGGACAGAGCTTGCATTGCAGCAGCTTCTTCTGCAGAGAGAAAAGCTGTTTCCGGGGGTGCAACCCGGCACCGTTCGGTAGCGCTACGTTCACACAGAAACAACCCGCGTGGACGGGATGGTCTGAACCAGCCTGCGCTGGAGCAGCCCAAACGTGAGGTCTTGGGATGGGCCCTGCCCCATCCCAAAAGACGGATGCATCACGGTGGCCTTGCTGGCCTCATAGAGGCTAGGCCCTGAGAGTTGCCCCAAAGGGCTTGGTTAGCCTCACCTTTGGGGGAGACATAGGGCAGCCACAGAAGACATGGAGTTCTGTGACACTTTGCCCTGGGTCTGCCCCTTTCCTCCCCACCCTTGCCCTGCGTCTCCTATCTTCTTCCCCCTCCCATCCCTGCTCTGCCCCATGGACCCTCCTCCCTGAATCCAGTCTGCCTCCTGTATCATCTCCTTCTCTCTTCCGCTTGTGGGGCTGACCCCCTCAGGGTCACCTTTCTGTCATTGCCAGTGCAGAGTCAGAGCAGCCTCTGGCGAGGGAGGTGGAAGCTCCCGGAGAGACCGTTACCCAAAGTCAAGGCTCAAAGCCGTCCGCCACCCCTGGCAGGCTGCAGCCTTCTCCCGGGCATAGCCAGCCCAGAGCAGGGTGGCCCCTCCGTGCGTATATCGGCCCCAGGCCGAGTGTGGCAGAGCTGGGCCGGTTTCTTACCTGCAGGCTGGTCTGACAATCCACCTGTACGCCGGGGTAGTTGAGCAGCAGCCGGACCAGACTCTCGTGTCCCGACTGGGCAGCCAGGTGCAGCGGTGTGAACCCTGACTGAGATAAATCACACAGACGGTGGCAGGGCCTCTCGGATGCCCTAGACTCCTGGGCACACCGTGAAGGCAGGGCAGTTCCCAGTCGTTTCCCCTTAGAGTCAGGAACCAGAGCAGCTGGTCCCCATTTTCTGCTACTCGTGCCTGCAGGCAGGCTGTAATGATTCGCATTCCTCTCTCTCTCAGACGCCCTGAACCTGCTGCAGCCTTCCCCATGTGTACCTCAGGACTTGTGGAGAGGTGGCTTGGTGCCGAAGGCTCATAGTGGGGGGCCTTATGCTGGCTCTCCCGAAGCCCCTTGTGGACAGCTCCTGCTGTCACCTGTATGTGTTGTTGGATGCTATTTGGCCTGCCCCGGCTGACAGCAAAGCTTTCCTGCCTCTTTGCTGCTGGCCATCACCCACTCCTGTGATCGGAGCTAGGTGTGCGATGATCTGGGGGAGCAGATCAAATTTGGATCTAGGAACTACGGCTCTTCTGGCCCATTCCTCCCCTGGACTGGCCCCTTCCTCCACTGGGGCCAGCTCACTGCAATGCCTTCCCCCGCCTCTAGAGCTGGCTGAAGGGTGGCAACTCCATTTCGTGGCCGTTTTTGAGGTTTCCAAATGTTTCTGTTCTGCGTTGGAACAACCCTGATAACGTTGAAAGGTTTTCACGGGACCATGCCTGACTGCGTAGCCGTGTGGCTGGGCACTGCCGTGGGAGACCCCTGCTGTGCCTGATTCAGAGGAGTGATTTTCATCCCAGAGAACCCTAAATCAGATAGAGCAGGGGATTGAATCTGGGGGTTGAATCTGGATCTCCCAAATTTCAGCCCAGTGACCTGGCCTTCAGCCCAAAGCCTGCCTGATGGAACTTCATGGAAACCAAAATGTTTCTGCTTCCCACAACTAGTATATTTGGGCAGGAACGTTCCAAACAGCTCTACCCACCTCCCCAGTCCTTGCACAAGAGGCCCCGCGGGAGCCAGGGTGCAGCATTGGGGTCTCTATGCCATGCAAATTCCATGTACAGCCCAGCTCTTTCAATCGGGGCCTTGGAGCTATAAGGCTGTCACCTTGTTACTTGTCCTCCCGGCCTCCAATTTCTGACCCTTCGAAAAGCCTTCCTGTGAAGCCAAATCCATGCCGTGCTCCTAACCAAGGAGAGCAGAGATGGGAAGAGGCAAAGGCAGATTTCCCAGGGTGAATACAGGGGTAAATCCGTCTCCCGGCTCCCAAGGGAGAGAGGAACCAGGGTAGCTGTGTCACACAGAGTGGAGTGACATAATGCAGGGAGTTTGAGGAGGGCTCTTCATAACCAGCCTGCCTGCCCCAGGGCTAGGGTCCTTCCATCAGAACATAGAAGAGAGTTGTGGGCCTAGAAGGGAGTAAGATTCCAGCTGATGTGGAAATTACTTGCACAATTTTGATCTACAGTAGCAGTGCCACCAGGAACCAGGACTTGGTCCCCAGCAGAAGACCCCTCTACCAAACCTGTTTATAGAGGAGAGGCCTTGCGCCTAGTGTAACCACCACCCGGCAAATTTGAACCTGGGACCTCTGAAGCAGAGTATAGGAGCCTCTACCCTCTGAGCTAAAAGCCACCTTGCTCTCAGCCCATCCCGTAGAGGTCTCTTGGTCTTAACTGTTGCTGTGGTCTAGGTACCACTTGCATTGCTCAGTAACCACACTCGGGCTATATCTACACTCGAGGCTTCTTGCATGAGAAATATGCAAATGAGGCTAAGCATGGAATATCGCCAAGCCTCATTTGCGTACCTGATGAGCCGCCATTTTTGCAGAAGAGGTTCTTACGTCAGAAGGAGCTGTCTACACTGCCCCTTCTTGCGCAAGAAAAATCCTATTGCGCAATGCCACTACGCCGATTATTTTAGGAATAAGGACATTGCGCACAAGGGTTTTCCTTGCACAAGAAGGGGTAGTGTAGACATAGCCTAGGTGTGTGGGTTACATACTTCCCCTAGAAAAGGAAGCACGTCCCGAGCTTCAGAGACCCACTTGTAACCACCACGTGACAGATTTGAACCTGGGACCTCTGAAGCGGAGTATAGGAGCCTCTACCTGCTGAGCTAAAAGCCAGCTCGTTCCCAGCTCATCCTGTAGAGGTCTCTTGGTCTTAACTACTGCTGTGGTCTAGGTACCACTTGCATTGCTCAGTAACCACACTAGGGCTATGTCTACAGTGGCGGGTTCTTGCGCAAGGGTTCTTGTGCAAGAAGTCTTGAGCAAGAAAACATCTACACTGCCATGTGTGCACTGTGCTTTTGCTCAAGAGCTCCCATGGCAGTGTGGACACTTTCTTGCGCAAGAAAGCTCTGATGGCCATTTTAGCCATAGGGGTTCTCTTGCACAAGGAATCCCTGCCGAGCGTCTACACTGCCCTCTTGCGCAAGAGCTCCTGCGCAAAAGGGTTTACACCTGATAAAAAAGAACGTAACTCTTGCACAAGGAGCCCTCTCTTACCACGCCGTACTGAAAATTTACTTGCGCAAGAGCAGGTGGGCAGTGTAGACGCTCTGCGGATTCTTGCGCAAGAACAGCCGTACTTGTGCAATAACCTGCCAGTGTAGACATAGCCTGCACGTGTGGGTTACACTAGCACACAGAGAAATCAATTGATTCAGTTCCACAAGCCCCCACGTTCTTTGGCTCCATGGAAATGCACAAGTGGATTTGGGACACGGTGTCTCAGCTTGTCCCTTAATCCTGGCTGGCTGCCGTAGTACCTCATTGCTTTGCTCCTTGACCTGCTGTCTGTTGGAGGTGAGTTGAGGAGGCTCGCTGCGCATGGCGGCCAACCCCCTGGCGAGCATGTCTCGGACGAAGTCCAGCTGGCCATAACGTGCTGCCACATGAAGGGCAGTAAATCCTGTCTTGGAAGGGAAAGAAAAACACAGCCACAGTTCAGGGAAAACAAATGAAGATTTGCTCTTTTAAACGAACCAGAGCGCTCCCATTTAGCATGCGATCAAAGCATAGTACGGGCTTGACAGCTGGCAGGAAGAAGGTTAAAAAGGAGAGGTCACAGAAGACATGAGAATGACAGGAACGAAAACAAAGAAGGGGAGGGGGAAGAACGAGCGAGTCGGAGGAGGAGGAGAAGGCGCTTTTGGGGTTACACAACATTTCAGGAAGCGTCCTCTGCTTCTGGCATCTGTAAGCGATACTGCAAAGGCTCTGCGCAGCATCAGGAAAAGACGGCCCCTGGCAAAGCAACAGAAAGCGAGCTCTGTGATGGGTGCCAGGGCGCTTGGGGTTCTAGGCCTTTCTCTGCCAGAGGCCAAGGTTTCAGAGCAATTTCCGGTCTCTCTGGTAGTGGGGGCTCAGCTTGATAAAATAAGCCTGATTTTGTGGAAGTCCTGAGCACCTACGCTCCGAAAATTAAGGCCCCTTTAGGGCATCCAAAAACTGAGACCCTCAAAATTCACTACAGGTTGAACCTCTCTGGTCCGGCAACATCCGTAGTCCTTGTTTCTGCACCAGAATTGTCCCGGGACCAAAGAGCCCCTGAAGTAGAGGTTGCCGGCACCTGGGAGCAGAGCCAATCTGGTCAGCTAGGAGCGGAGCCCCAGCGGCAGCCTGGGGGCAGAGAGCCCGCAGGGCTGGCTGCTGGGTGTGGAGCCCTGTCGATAGCCATGTGGGACTGTTGGCCAGGAGCAGTCAGAGAGCTCGGTCAGAGACAGGGAACATGGCCAGCAGGGGAAAACGAAGCCTGATGACCAGGCACCAGGAGGGGAGCCTGGCCAGAAGGCTGGAGCCTCCCCAGGAGAGCCTGGAGGCCTCACCTCCCTGGTTCAGAAAACTCCCTCGTTTGGGGCCAGTCAGGTCCCAGGATGCCGGACTAGGGAGGTCCAAACCTGTAGTCACCTGTGGAAATCTTGTCTTGGTCTCTCTGGGCCCCTGTTTCCCTTCCGTCCAACGGGGACACTAATGCTCCTTTTCTCCCACTCTCTGTCTGCCTGGGCTCTTTGGAAGCTCATTGGGGTGGAGCCTGTCTCTCATAGGGGTACACACAGTGCGCGACACAGCAAGAACTAGCCATGACCAATGACTGTGCCCCCCATGCACTTCCCTGCTTTGAGGTGTGGCCCTATCTCCACTGGACACAGAACCAGGTCGCGACACTCACCAATGACCCCGTCACGACAAACACCGGCTGCGTTGTGTCCACACCGCGGCTGCCTTCACGTTAAGTGCACCTGCACCGCCGCACCCACGCCCC